TGTGTGCACACACGTGTGTGTGTGTGCACATTTATGTATTTAATTGTGGAGACCAGAGGTCATTGTGTATTTTCCTCAATTGTTGTCCACCTCATTTTTTTGAGAACTGAACCTGGAATTGACCACTCCACTTGCCTGGCTAGTCAGCAAGCCCTGGGGATTCTCCTGTCTCTGCCTTCCCAGCACTGGGATTACAGGTGTGTGCCAACATTCCCAGCTTTTTAAAAATGTGTACTTGGGGTTGAACTTAGCTGTTTAATTCCCTGAACTTTGTCTGAATTCCATACTCTAATTCCTGCCTTCTCTCATGGCGTATTGCAATATACTGTTACCACTACAGGAACAAAGGACATATTTTCTGTAAAGGAAGAGAAAGCTGACCAGCAAAGAGTTCCCTAATGGTCTCCTTTATAAAGTCATACCCAAAAAGCATGAGGAACTCTGAGCCAAGAACTGGTTCAATAAAGATATGTTCTGGTTAGCAGTGCTTGTGTGAAAGTTCTTTTAGAAAAGAATCTCTTAGAAGAATGCATACCTATGTTAGATGTTATACAGACACATGAGGATCTCATTTTCCAAGAATCTGGCATCCATGGAACATGGGTAAACAGCAAGAATGTAAACTTCCAGAATTAACCAATCAAAAGTAAGCTGTTTGAATGAATTATTACCTGATCAACAATCTTAAAAATAAAATGACAATTTACCACACATTTTGTGTCACTGTGAGACAATAAATCGTTGCATAAATCTTTTGGAGAGGTTAGGGGGATCTGTTGCTAAGGCCAGCTTGGACCTCTCTGTGGAGCCCAGGCTGATATCAAGTCTACAACCCCTCCCCTCAGCCTCCGCTGTGCTGACTCTGCAGGCATGCATCTCCACACCTGGCAGATGATAAATCTCACCAAGGTGTATATCTCTGTGTTCTTAGGTTCTTTTCCACACAAATATAAAAGATGCCGGAGAAGTGACCACGCAGGTTGGGTCATCCTTCCTTGGATTTTGCTGTCTATATAGACACCCACAATACAGAGAAGCAAGCTGGCAGGGTGAAACGCTGCTGCTGTGAACAGAACTGGAGCTGCTGTTCGTCTTGCTCTACTGTTTCTTCATTCACTAACAAGTACAGTGTGGGCACCTTCCACACGGCCCCCATTCCTGCTCATCAACTCTCCATTCTGGGCGTGATCTATAATTTAACACTCACTGAGGACACCTCTAATTTATCCCTTTATAAATATAAAGGTAATGTTCATATGTAAAACGATATGGCTGTATATATTATCTTTAATGCTTACTTGTCCTTGATTTCTCTACTCAGCACAGTGCATTGGGCTGGTCTCCGTTGGGGACCTGAGGGCTCTCACACATTGCCTCCTTCATTCATACTCTACCTCTCACTTTTGCTATCTAAAATTTATTTTTAGCTCTACTAGCCATCACTTACAGCTCCAAGTAATATACAGCCAAACTCTCTTTCATTTGAAATGCTTAAATCAACCCCAACTTCAATAAAAGGATGGGAGGGCTGTGCTCAGGCTGCCTTCCGCCGTCCCTCTGTCCTGCCATTTCTTATGGTCAATTATACTGTTTTTTATAACATCAAGATAATCTAGTCTCTGAAGCCTTGTATGCCAAGTGATTCTAAAACTTAAAAACTCAATGTACGCAACATTTCTAGTATTATGACTACTGAATATTACTCACTGTAGAATAATATAGCATAATTAGACCCTCAGGGAAGGAATTTTTATCCAAACCTACAATTTTGCTGTATAATTGAGAATTTTCAAAGTTTTGAGCTTTAGTACATTATCTTTTAATATCCTTTTTGTTTTCTAGATTTATTCTAGATGACCCTTACTCCACTACACTTCTCCTATGTTTTATAACATTCTTTCACTCAAGATGTTTTTGAATATTGAGCTCCATACATGTTCAAATAGACATTCCTTGTCAATCTATTTCCCTTGAGTGTGATTAAAAGCTGACTACAAGATGTTATATTTAGATTCATTTTCCACAGGTCTTTGAAGACAGAGTTTTGATTTTCTTCTAGGATCAAGTGTTGTTGCTGAAAAATCTGGTGTTTGTCTGATTTTCATCACTTATTGAAATATTCTATTTCCTTAGGATTTTGTAACAACTTCTTTATCCTGAGAATTTTGCAACTTCACCAGGACACATCCATCTATCCTTCACATCTGTTCATTCTACTTGTCAGACCTTCTAGTCTGAGACTTGAAGAAGGTATAGACTGAGGGCAGTCACACAGCTCAATTTTTGCGTATGTCTGGTGTGCAGGTCCTGTTGTGCTCTGGCACAGGGGCAATGACGAAAACATGCAGAGACTTAGCTTCATGCTTGCTGTTCTTAGATCTGCTATCAAGAGCAAACGGAGGTCTCAGGACAGTGAGTGGCACACGGCTTAGGTACACTTCTCAAATCAGCCCTGCTGCTAGGTGAAAGTCTTGGGAGCAAGTTCCCCTTTAACAGCCAATCTCCAGCCAGTCTTCCACAGAACAGTGACAAGAAGTCATTCATGTGAGAACAGTGAGGGGATCCAACCAGCCATATCACAGACAGAGAAGCCAAGGAAATGAAGTCATGTAAAGACACCAAGGTGCTAACAATGGTTAGTGGGTAGAGAGGATTTCTGTATGTGTGCACAGGTCCACATACCTGTGCAAAAGGAGGCAAAAGGTCAACCTCTGTGTCATTCCTCCTGAAGGACTGTCCATCTTATTTTTTTGAGACAGTATTTTTCATTGGCTCAGAACTTGCCAATTAGGCCAACCTGGATGGCCGGCAAGACCCAATGATCCTCCTGTCTCCATTCCCCAGGGCTGGGAATCACGAATATGTGCTACAATGCCCAGCTTTTTTTAAGAATAGGTTCTGGGGATCAAATTTTAAGCCAGGCATTGTGGCACACAACTTTGGTCCCAGCTCCCAGGAGGCAGAGGCAGGAGGGTCTCTGTGAGATCAAGGCCAGCCTGGTCTACATAGCGAGTTCCAGGCCAGGTGGGGCTACAGGGAGACCCTGTCTCAAAAAAGACCAAAAATTAAAATTAAATGTGGGTCCTCACACTTGCATGACAAGCCCTTTACAGACTGAAATATTTCTCCACACTAAAGTATTTCTTTAGCTTATAAAAATATGCTATCATTGAACTATATTTTCTACATTTTATTATCTTTTTTATTAATCCTAAATTGAATCCAATGACTCTATTCACAATTGCCCTTAACTTTATTTTCCAGTATTTTTGTTTTTCTGTTTTAAGTAGTGGGAGTTAGTCTTCAATTAAATTGAAAATAATAAACAACTTAGATTTCAACTCTTTAGCTTATAAAAATATGCTATCATTGAACTATATTTTCTACATTTTATTATCTTTTTTATTAATCCTAAATTGAATCCAATGACTCTATTCACAATTGCCCTTAACTTTATTTTCCAGTATTTTTGTTTTTCTGTTTTAAGTAGTGGGAGTTAGTCTTCAATTAAATTGAAAATAATAAACAACTTAGATTTCAACAATGCCCCTTCTGTTTAGTATAAT